TAAGGTTAAAAAAAAAATTTGCTTTTAATTTACTTTCTAATCGTTTTTTTTTTCATTTCTTAGAAAATGATATTAATAAAAAAAAATATATTTTTTTCTAGCGACACGACAAAAAAAAAACCTTCTACCACTTTCGCCCCTTTCAGTAATAATTTTCTTTTTCCCGTTTCGTAAAAGTGTAATGAAAATTTTTGTTATTCGGTGGTGGCGCGCTCACGCGTTGTAATTATCATTTAAATTATTTTATTACTCTATGACTTTAAAAAAAATTTTTTTTAATTTTTCTTTTCACCCCGCCTTCTCTGTCGTTTACGAATGATTTAATTTAAAAATGACTCGTTCGCCGTTGTTAAGATATACGTAATGTGGTTCAATTAAAAATAAATTTGAAAAAAATTTTTTTTTTTTAAATGAAATTATTTTGAAAAACGTTTCGAATCGACGATTGTGCAGACAATAACCAAAATAAATAAAATAAAATATTTTCGATCTTTATTATTATTATTATTTTTACATTTGGACGCCATTTTGTTTAAAAACTAATCTGCATGTAATTTACTTTAAAAAAAAAAAATAAATTTAAATAATGGTTGGTAAAAAATTAAAAGCCGTAGAAAAAATCATTTTGGGTAATTAGTTTTAAAAAAAAAAGAAAAATTAACGTGGAAGAAGAAAAACGTGATAAGGATGATTGTTTCGTTTAGTTTTTTCTTTAGTTAATTTCGCAAACGTAATTTATTTAAACGATATTTAAAAATAAATAAATGACGTGACGTAACGACAAAGAAAATTATATATTATTTTAAAATGATGATGACGTCATTTATGTTATTTATTTATTTATTTAAATTATTAAATCATTTATAAACAAAATTGAAAAAAATATTAATCGACCGTAGAAGTACAAATCATACATATTTAAACGATTAGTAAATGTTTACTGCCAACCTTTGCAAAAAAAAAAAAAAATTTTTTTATATAAGGAATCTCATTTTTTGCGATTGTTTAACAAAAAAAAGAAAAGGGGGGGGGCGACCAAATTAAGATTTCCGGTTAGTCAACAACAAAAACCGGAAATACTTTAAACTATTACAAAATTACCTTCTAATGCCACTGAAATTTTGATAATATTTTGTCGTTATGACTCACGTCATGTGCGGCCATTTTTCTTTTTTTTTGTCATTTTAATTGCAATCGAAGGTTTTAAATTAAACGCGACGACGACGACGACGACGACGACGGTTTCCTTTCCTTTGTTTACATTCCATTACGAAAATTTTGTTGAAAGTTTGTCGTCGCGACAACATTTTGTACAAACAAACAACAAACGAATTTTTTGAATTTTTTTTTTTTGCGTTTAAAAATTTTTTTTCCACGTACGTACTGGCTGATATTAATTAAAAAATTTTCTTCGCTTTTTTTTTTAATTTACGAAACGTGATCGCAGATTATTATAAATTTATTATTATTATTATTTTTTTTTTTTAAGGTATAAAAATTTTGGTGTCGAACCTACTACTACTGCTGCTGCAAATCCAAAAAAGGCGACACACACAAAAAGAAGAAATACCATAAAGGATTTTTTTTCCAAATTCGTCGACAAATAATGATAACCTTAATGATAAATATAAATATTTGTCGCGTCCGTCATTTTTCCAAAAAGGAAAAAATATTTTATTGAAAAAGGAAAAAAGAAAAAAAAAATTTTTTTAAGGTACGTTTCTTTTTTATTATTATTATTATTACTATTAGTGCCCGTATGAGGAGTGAGGCAAAACGGATATGGAAACGAATGATATGAGGAAATTGTTTGTTTTCACTTTTTCGTTTGTTTTGAATTTTTGCTTTCAAAAATTTCGTTTCTGTTGTTGTTTGTTGTTGTTGTTCTTGTTGTGGTTTTTGTTGATGTTGTTGACACGTCAAATGCCGCAGGTATGAAAGGAGAAAGAAAAAAAAAGGAGAAAGTTTAAAAAAAAAAAAAAAACACCGCGACGTTTACACGACTATAATGATTATTGACCGTCATTAATAATAATTAGGATTGATTGATTGATTGAATGGATGAATGAATGAATGACGAAGGAAACAATAATAATAATAATAATAAATTGATTTCCAAGTGTTCGATTAATTTTTTTCTTCTTTCCAAAATGTAAAACGGGTACGCAACGGATCAAACTATTCGAAATTACTATTATTATTATTATCATTATTATTATTATTATTTAATTTATTTTTTTCTTCGTCGTCGTCATCATCACCATTGATGTTGATGATGATGATAATGATGATACTTAGTTTTCTTGATGAATCGACTCGTAATGATGGCATACCAGTTTTTTTTTTGCAAATTGTAATCAGGTATAATTAACAGGTATATAGTAATGATTAAGTTAATCGATAAACAAATTAAAAATGTCGTTATTATAAATGTGCTATTAAGGAAATGTTTATGAAGTTACGGTACTGATTTCGGAAAAGGAATGAGATGAATCGTCGAAAAATATATATATACGGAAAATGGGTCGAATTAAAAAACAAACAAACGGGTAAAACGAATTTATTCGTACCTGAAAATGTCGACGACGACGTATGCGATAAAAACGTTGCCCACCCCCCCCCCCATTTCTCCCTCGTGTTTTCGACACGAACTGAAATTCGATTCGTTTTTAATGTTTAGAAAAATTTTACACATGACGGAAATTTTCCCTACGCCCAAATTTAACCTTCATGATCTTCATAGGTCAAGTACCTGAGGTGATGTTTACGGGTATTAAAAGCTCGATATTTTACTCAACATAGACAACCGTAAAGATGATGATAATAATAATTATGAATAGCGAAACGTTCGTGATTTTTACGACAGAAAAATTATGTTTTTCCATTTCCGGTCATATATCGAATTTCTTTCTCCATTTTTTTTTTTTTTGTAAATTTAAATTAACCTTTATTTAAAAAAAACCCTTTTACTTTTTTTCTCAAGGTGTTACTAATATTTCTCACGCTAAACAAGAGCAAATAATAATAATAAAAAATTATAAATTTTTATTACGGGTTTTTGGAAAGTTGGTAAAACTGACGATAACGTGAGAGAGAGAGAGAGAGAAAGAAAAAAAATTTTTTTTTGAATTAATTTTCAATCAAAAAAACAATTCGAAAGAGAAACGTCGAGAGGCGTTCGAAACAAACGCCGAATAAAAAAAAAGTGGCAGCAGACGTTAAAAAAAAGTGGCAGCAGACGTTAAAAAAAAGTGGCAACAGACGTTAAAAAACAGTGGCAGCAGACGTTTAAAACAAAAGAAATGTTTTTGTTCGATTTCATTCGCAAATTAATTTATTTAATTACAACAATCATTTTCGTTATTTCCAAGGGAGAGAAAGAAAACAAAATGGCTGCCGGGTTAATAACGATGATGATGATGATAATAATAATTAATTAAAAAAATATATATATACAGTTAAGTCGTTAAAAAAAAATAATAATAATAATAAGTAAAGAAAGAAAGTTTTTGTATGACAAACAACAAACACCTGCGTTTGCCGCCGGATGTCAGACTTATTATTATTATTATTATTATTATTATCATCGGGTATCGAATAAATTATTTTCGAAATAAAAGAGAGAAAGGATTCTTACTATCTCTCTCTCTCTCTCTCTCACTCTCTCTCTGTCGGCGGTTTTATTAAGGGATACCTGAATTTTTAACGCCCTTGTTCGTTTGTTTAAAAAAATTCGTTGAGACATTCCAGAATGAATGTTGAATTAATTGAATTAATAATTTCCAAAACGCGACAAAAGCATACCTGACTGACTATCTCAGGTATGCTGATACCGTTATCATTAGTATTAACATAAATTTATCGAGGCCGGTGGTAAGACAACATTCGTACCTTAAAAAAAAAATTGTTGTTGTTGTTTGAAGGATAAACAAAGTAGGTATACGAAAGAATGTGTTGAAATTATTTTGCAAGTCACCTGACTCCTTCATTAATTTCTTTTTGCGTTTCGAATTTCTTTCGATAATCGATAATCGATAATCGAGATTTTTTTTTCTTCGATTTGTTAATATTTATTTATTGATGATGACGAGAAAGTTTCATAGAGTAAATAACACCGATGTTTTAAACACAAAGTCGTCGGATGTTTCGTTTGAATTTATGGATTATGAATGAATGATTGATTGATTGATTGATTCATACCATTTTAATGAATTCGGTAAAAATTGTTTTTAAAAAAATGTCATAGAGTAACAAAAAAAAATCGTTATTCGTCGAAAGAGAAACAAATGTGTTGATTTTTTCGTAACTTAAAAATTTTGAAATTTTTTTTGGTCTTCTGCTTCTTAATTTCCGATTATTGAATTATTTATTTATTTATTTATTGCGATGTAAAATTGAGTTAGAGTGGAGTGCGCGTGCGCGTGCGTGTCAGGTATGATAATCAGGTACGATGATTGCGCATCTTCTCTCGTTAATTTTATTTAATATTTATCCGCAAATATTCTTTGATTGAAAAAAAAAAATATTTGCGTATCTCCATTCTGTAACGGTACCTTCATACTTTAAGACTTAAAATTATTGATGATGATAATAATGATAATGATAATGATGATGAAAAAAACGGCAGAAAATTGAAAGTTTTTTTAAAAGAAAATGATTTATTGTCATTATTCCTGGGGGGCTTTAAGGAGAATGCAAATGTTTATAAAATCACTTAAACTGTCAGAGAATCAAGAAAGGAGGAGGAGGAGGACGCGGGGTCAAATGTCACGTAAAAAAATTTTTTTTTTTTGCATTTTTTGAATTCGTAAATGTGACCGTTAAAAAAACATGAAGAAGGAGTGAACGAACGGAGTCCTGTCCCGACTTTAATGAATGCCTAATTTTTTTTTTTTTGGAATGCATACTCTGGATATTTTAACATTAAAATTTTTCTTTTCTATCTCTCTCTCTCTCTCTCTCCATCTCTCTCTCTCGTGCGCTCACCTAATGATTCAGTCATGTCGACGTCAAAACATAATCTCGTTGCTAACGAATGGGAAATGTCAACGATCGAAAGAAAATATTCCGTTCCTCCTGGAGGTGGTTCTCAATCACCTGGAACTCCACCTCACCCGCAACAGGAATTACAACCGGCGAGAGGAGAAAGAGGTTCGACTTCTGAAGACCTTCACGCATGGTCGATATACAGGTCAGAAAAAATTTTTTCATTTTATTTAGTTGTTGATGCCACGTTTTATTTTATTGTCGCTCCGGGAGTTTAGCAAATTATTTTTTCTTCCAGGCAAAATTTAAATTCGGATTTTACAGATTCCGCATTGGGTTCCAGCGAGAAAAGTCCGTTACCTTATGGTAATTTTCAATTAAGAGAATCAACGGTTCAAAGCATATTAAATCATCCACGTTATGGACCCAAGTGAGTTTTTTTCTTTTTTTTAAAATTTTCTCCAGGGTTTTTGGAAAAAATTTATGTTTTTATATGCGTTCAGATCCGCATTGAGTTCTAACATGTACACGTACCTTAAATTTGGTTTACCACGAGTTTTTCCACCGTCAAGAGGTTTAAGAGATGGTTCGAGCGGTTATAATTCAAGTGATGATGGATCACCGGGTCCGATGAAAGGTGGCGGTGGTCATCATAGAGGACCCATAAGAACAAGAAGTGAAATGGATATAAGAAATTTTCACATGAATTCATCATATTCAAGGGTGAATAATTTTCTTTTTTCTCGTTTAATTTGAACGTTTTTTCAATTTCAATATAAAAAAAATTTAATAATTTCCACAGCCTTCTCCTAGTCGTAACAATCGTATGTCGAACAGTGAAGCCAACCTTTTGTCATCTAGTAGTTATTACACTCACGATCCACCGCCGAGAAGTAGAAGATCGGTGGCGGGTATGGAAAAAACTTCTTACAGGCCTCCAGAATCGAGAACGAACGAACATAGAAAAAGTTTTCACGACTTAAGAAGTGCCGCCATGATGGAATCATTTTTTCACGGGTAGAAAATTTATTTATTAACACGACTCTATTGTTAATTTACACCGAATTTTTATGTATGTTGTTGTTGTTGACAGGAGGCCATTAATGGAACAACGAAGAGCATCAAAAGCCGGATCACACATTTCTTTAAACTACAGGAAAATGCATCCGAATTCTTCGGTCGTGCCTGAATTTATAGGAAGGCCACATTCCGCCATGGGACACGTAAATCCAGGAATGTATTACGGAGAAGGAATTCGAGGTGGTAGCGGAATCGGTGTCGTTGGTGGTGGCGGCGGTGGAGGTGGTGGTATCGGTGGAAACGAAACGCCATCGGGAATATTAGTGGAAAATGAAGGACCCCTACAATATCCACATTTTCAAGTGAAAAACGTTGACGTTGAATCTAAAAAAGAAAAGGGACGTTATTTGATACAGGGAGTTTCACTCGAAGCTCGAGGAGGTGAATTATTATCAGTTATGAGCACTCAAACCGCGGAAGGAACTTTATTACTTTCTGCTCTTTCCGGTGAAACGACGACAAAATATGGTAAAGTTAGCGGTGAATTCATATTAAATGGTAACCTAGTTGAAAGGAAAGAATTAAAAAGACGTTCCGCGTTTGTTAAAACCGATTGCGATTGGGATTCGGATTTAACAGTTAAACAAACTTTGTACTTCCAATACAGGCTGAGGAGGGTCAAGCATAGGTTTGCGAAGTTACCCTTAGACGATAAGGTAATTATGACCTTTGACTTTTCATTTTTTTGTTGACCTTTAACAAAAAAAAAACTCACATTTTTTTTTGTTTTTTGTTAATTCAGATTTCCAGTTTAATTGAAGATTTAGGTTTAGATCAGGTTTCCGGTACAAAATTATCCGGTTTGACAAAATCGGAATTGAGACGGTTAAGTGTTGCCATTTATCTTCTGCTAGATGTCGACATATTGTTTTTGGATCAGCCAACCAAAGGAATGGATATTTTCGATACTTTTTTTTTAATCGAATATTTACGACAATGGTCATTAAATACAGGAATGCCTGGTGAGTAACAAACAAAAAAAAAGTTTATACGGAAATGACGTAGATGAAAATTTATATTATTATTATTATTATTATTATTATTATTATTATTATTATTATTATTTAAAATCAGAATTGACCGGAAGAGTCGTTATATTAACGCTACAACCTCCGACATATGAAATTTTAACAATGATCTCAAGGGTACTCATTATATCCAACGGTCACGTCATGTATTCGGGAATGACGTCACTTCTGTTGCCTTATTTTACAAGCGTCGAGTATCCTTGTCCGCCTTTTAAAAATCCATCGGATTATTACCGTAAGTTTTTGACGTCATCATCATCATCATCATGACAATCCCTGTTGTTTGATGGAATTTCGATTGCGAGCGTTCGTGCGTGCACATACAGATAATGTATCAACTTTTTTTGTTTTCAGTCGATTTGGTGACGCTTGATGATCTTTCGGCGGAAGCCATGCTCGAATCGTCACAAAGGATGGCGCAATTGGGTGAATTACACAGGAGGCGACAACAACCGCTTTCCGACCCCGGACCACCTGCGCATTTCCCACCCGAACTCGTTCATTCTAATTTTTTTACTCAGGCCATAACGTTGTTTTTGTGAGTTTCTTTTCTTCTTTTTTCTTCTCTCTTTCGTCTGTCTTTGTGTCTCTCCCCCTGTCTCTCTCGCGTCTGTATTTCTGTCTCTTTCTCTCGCCCATCTTTCTCATCTTCTTCCGTCTGTCTCTCTCGTCTGCCTTTCTGTCTCTCTCTCTCGTCTGCCTTTCTGTCTCTCTCTCTCTCGTTTCTGTCTCTCCTCCCTCTTTTCGTCTGTCTCATTCGTCTGTCTTTCTGTATCTCTCGTCTGTCTTTCTGTCTCTCCCCCTCTCTCTCTCTCTCGTCTCTCACTCTGTCCTCTCTCTTTCGTCTCTCTCTCTCTCTCTCGTTTCTGTCTCTCCTCTCTCTTTTCGTCTGTCTTTGTGTTTCTCCTCTCTTTCTCTCTCTCTCGTCTCTCTTTCGTCTGTCTCTCTCGTCTGTCTTTCTGTCTCTCACTTTCTTTCGTCTGTCTCTTTCGTCTGTCTTTCTGTCTCTCTTTCGTCTGTCTCTCTCGTCTGTCTTTCTGTCTCTCACTTTCTTTCGTCTGTCTCTTTCGTCTGTCTTTCTGTCTCTCTCTCTCTCTCTCTCTCTCTCTCTCTCTCGTCTCTCTTTCGTCTGTCTCTCTCGTCTGTCTTTCTGTCTCTCACATTCTTTCGTCTGTCTCTTTCGTCTGTCTCTCTCGTCTGTCTTTCTGTCTCTCACTTTCTTTCGTCTGTCTCTTTCGTCTGTCTTTCTGTCTCTCTTTCGTCTGTCTCTCTCTCTCTCTCTCTCGTCTCTCTCGTCTCTCACTCTCTCGTCTCTCTGGTCTGTCTCTCTCTCTCTCTTTCGTCTGTCTTTGTGTTTCTCCTCTCTTTCTCTCTCTCCTCTCTCTTTCGTCTGTCCCTCTCTCTCTCTCGTCTCTTTCTCTCTCCTCTCTCTTTCGTCTGTCTCTCTCGTCTGTTTTTCTGTCTCTCTCTCGATCGCCCACCTTTCTTCTTTCCTTTGTGTGTGTTTCTCTCTCTATTTTCCTTTCTGTGTGTCTGTGTGTCTCTCTCTCTCTCTCTTTCTCTTCTTCTTTCTGTGTCTGTGTCTCTCTCCATACGTTCTCTTTTCTGTGTGTTTGTGTGTCTCTCTCTTTACGTTCTCCTTTCTGTGTGTTTGTGTCTGTCTCTCTCTCTCTTTCGCCCACCTTTTTGTGAGTCTCTTTCTCTGTTTCTGTGTGTGTGTGTCGATGTCTCTTTCTTTCTGTCAGTCTTTTTCTTTTTTCCTTCCTTCTTTCCTTCTCTTTGTATAACTCCTTGTTACTCTGACATTTTTTAAAATTTGTCTTTATTGATTTTCTTTCTTTTATGAATTCAGGAGAAGTTTTTTATGGAGTCAACCATCATCTTTTGTACGACATTTATTTAGAATTCTTCTCGCTGCCATTTTATCATTTTTAGTGGGTGCTATATTTTGGGATATACCTGGAACGGACACTCAATTGTTATTGGGTGAGTTATTACTTTTCATTGTTATCATTTGGGTGATTAAGGATTATGAATGATGATGATGATGACGACTATTGGTATTCCAGGTGATCGACTCGGATTTCACTACACGGTTTTTTGCGTGACACTTTGGCCTTTGATACTTTTAACGTCACTCAACACAGTGAGAAGAGAAAAAAAATTTGTCTTTAACGAAATAGATGAAGGACTATACGGAAGGATAGTATTTGTCCTAATGAAGGTATGGTACCATCTCTGATTCCTACGGTATAGCAGAACGAAAGGAATCAAATTGACCTTTGACATTTAAAACGACTGTTTCATTACCGTTTAAGGTTATATGCGGTCTACCAGGTTCGCTACTCATGTGGTTATCCTACATCGTACCTTCTTTCGTCATGTCCGGACTTCACAATCAGGGTACGAACGCGGAAAGTACGAAAACGTTTTATTTGTACGTCGGACTCAGCATTTTATACCTTCACGCCCTTCAACTTCTTTCGAATGGGATATCGTGGCTGTTCAAAAACACTTTTCTAGCAATTTTATTTATATTTTTAATATTTACAACAATTTTCACGTTTTCCGGTGAGTTTTCCCTCCCCCCCTTTTTTTCCTTATTATTAAAATAAATTTTCTTTCTAGAAAATTCTTTTTGTTTTGGTAGGTTTTCCAATACACATAAAAGACACGGGAGACGTAGGTAACAGTTTAAAAATGGCGTCTCCAACATGGTGGTTAACGAGTACTTTACTTCAAAGAGAATTAAGATCGGATGCGTTTAAAGATCACAATCACGTTTGTAAAAACAAACAGGTACGACGACGACGACGGCAACGACGCCATTTTGTTTTTTGTTTCGCCATAATTTTTTTTTTTTGTTTCCTTTTACAGAAGCAAAGACCTGAAATAATAGTTCAAGTCGCTTGTCCGACTCCAAACGGAACAGCCGAATTAGAATATTTAAACATGTTACCGGAGGAGGAAACGGAAACGAGGAAATCAACAACGAGAATATCAAAACCGGAACCGGAAACGAAATACGGTGAATCATTTTTCATAATGGGAATATTTTGGATCGTTTGTTTTTTCATTTTACTCACGTCATTTTCTCTATCCACCATATTGCCGACGAGAGATGAAAAAAAAATTACGAGATCATCTAATAAACCTTAAAAAGTGTGGGAGTGCGTGAATGAAAGAATGCGTGTTGTAATGTGATAATTATTTACAAAAAAAAATTTGTACCTTATTTATTCGTGTGCGTAATATTAATAATAATAATAATAATGTTTTTTATCATATAAATAAATATTTAATTATAAAAAAAAATTTTTTTTTTTATTTTCTTTGTATGTCTCCCTTCAATAAACCTCCTTCTTAAAATTTAAGAAAGAATAAGAGAGAAAGTAAGCAGAAGCAGAAGACAATTTATACATAGAAAAAAGGAAGTGAAAGAGGATAAAGAAAAAAATTTAAGAAAATAATAATAATCCAAAAAAAAAGTTATTATTATTAATGATTAATAATAATTTTTTAATTAAATAACATTATATATTATTCTAAAATACATAAAAATAGGAATAGAAAGTCTAAATGATTATTATTATCATCATCATCATCATCATCATACGTTAAGAAAATAATTAGAGATTAGTAATAATAATAATAATAATAGTAATATGATAATTTATTTTAATAGACAAAAAATTTTATTAAATAGAAAGAAGAAGAAGAAGAAAACTACGTACATTAATTAATTAATTAATTTATCATCCAAATTTTTATTAAAAAATCAAATGACGCATAGAAATTAATAAAGATTTGATAAGAAAACACTCACTATGATAATACACACGTGTACTAAAATACACGTGCTATTTATCTACTAAATAAATAAATAAAATAAAAATGAAATTTTACAAGCAGAAAACAAAAAAGAAAAAAAGAAAGAAAAAAGTCGTTGATTGTCCGATTCGACGTTAAAAAAAAAACAAACGATCGCGACGCCATTTTGTTTTCTTTTGTTTACTTTTGAAAATTATTAAGAATCACGTGATCAAAATGGCGCCAATAAATTTTGAAATTGTTAAGGCGATTCTTAACGGTTTTGTTAATTTTAATTTGATTGATTTTTTTTTTAAACGGAAAATTATTAAAGTACGTCGTGATTACTATAATCATCATTATTATTATTATTTTTAATAGTTAATAATAATTATTATTAAATTTATTCAAATCGCAAATAAAATAAAGATCGATTTAAACTTTCTCATTCAATTTTTTTTTTCTATTTGATTGATTGTCCTCGATTTAAATGATTATCGTTCATAACAAACAACAATTGGAAAAATTCTAGAATTTTCCTTAAATTTTCCTTTCCGCGATTGTCGAAGCTCAATGATTATATTAAATCATATAAAGAAAAAATAAAATATGTCACAGTTTGTGGTCCCCCTAATAAATAAATTTTTAATATCATTCAACCTTTCCACCATTCACATACCCCCCCCTTCAAATCATTCTTAATAATAATAATAATAATAAGTGATTTGAATGATATGAAATTATGTGTTGTAAAATTTGGTCCTCCACAACAATATTAATAATATTAATTAACAAAGAAATATTTATAATAATAATAATTTTAAAAACTTTCATCTTAAAAACAAACATGTTGTCGTAATTGTTAAGCGAAATTTCAAAAGTAAACAAAACAATGTTAAACCACCACCCAAACAAACAACTCAACAACCAACAAACAAACAACTTTAAATCTTTTAAAAAGTTTTTATAAAAACATTAATGTTCACACTTGTTTTCAAACACTAAAAAAACACATAAAAACTCTTTAAAGTATATTGGAAAAGAAAAATCTGAAAAAATAAAAACAAAACGTGTAAATTGTGGTGTTGTTGTTGTTGATGATGATGATGATGATTAAATTTAATTAAAAAAATTCATAATGATAATGAAACTTTCTTTTTATGTTATTTTATTCAATTTAACATGTTTAAAATATGAAACTTGATTATCAACCTCTTCCCCTCCTCTTCCTTCCCTCTTTTCCCCTCCAATTAAATTTCACTTAACAAATTACTAATAAATAACTATTATTGATAAAAGATAATAATAATAATAATAATAATAAAATTACTAACCTTATTTATTTATAATAATTAAAATTAAAATTAAAATAAAAGAAAAATAAAAATTTTCCTATTCTCTTTTTTTTTTTAAATAATAATAATGATAATAATAATAATGATAATGATAATAATAATAATGATGATTAAAATAACAATGATTGATAATAATAATGAATCCTCCAAAAATAATTGCTTTACTATAACCTAAAAATTATTATTTAAAAAAAAAAAAATTCAACTCCCCCACCCCCCACTCCTACCTCGTGCGACGTGGTTGACTTCGAACAATGATAATAATAATAATAGTAGTAATAATAATAATAAAAATAATAATAATAATAATAATTAAAAATTCGTTATTAAATCAATTTTTTTTCTTTTCTTTTTCCTTTTTTTTATGTATAAACAAAAAACTTATGGTTAACATCATTGTACATTTATTTATTTATTCATTCATTTATTTATATTTATTATTATTATTATTATTATTATTATTATTGAAAGGCTAACAACACACATATAAGAATTTATCTACAAAAAAAAACAACGATAATGATAATGATGATGATCATGAATATTATTACTATGTGGTAAATGATAAGAATTAACTTTAAAAATTATCATTATCATTATTATTACTATTATTAATTATTTAATTATTTAATTATTTATTCGTTAAAAATTATTAATTTATTTTTTTTGCTATTTTAAATTATTTTAAATAGTTATAATAATAATAATAATAATAATAATAATAATAATAATAAATTACAAATTAAAAATCATAAAAAAAAAATTTATTTCATTCATTCATTCACTCGTTTTTTTTTTTTTAAATGGCGTTAATAACGGCATAATTTTTAATAATGATAATAATAATCGATAGTAAAACTATATGTATATATTTATGTATTTATTAATTTTTTTTTTTTGTTTTTCTCGTCTATAAATTTTATTAATTATTATTATTTTTATTTACTACAAATAATTTGTAATTGAACAACGTATTTATTATTATTATTAATTAATTAATTAAAACTTATTACATATAATAATTGAATCTATTAATATTATTATTGTTATTATTTAATGGAAATATCATTGGTTCGCGCGCGTGTTTATTTATTTATTTATTTAAACAAGACATTTTTAATTATTAATAAATAATAATAATTTGACATGCAATTTATTATTATTATTATTATTATTATTATTATTATTATTATTATTATTATTATTATTATTAATAATAATAAATTTTTAATAAAAATATTCTAAAAAAACATTTTTTTTTGTGCTTACTTATATATGTATCCTTATTATTATTATTTATTCATTTATTTTTTTATTCTCATTAATTTTTATTTAAATAAATAAATAAATAATTTATTAATATGATTATTTACAATGATATTTTATTATTAATATTAATATTAATAATAATAATAATAATACGGAGTGCGAATTTATTTATTTATTTATTTTTTTTTTGAGTTATGGATGGACGACTTTAAAAGCTTATATAAATTTATTTAATTATACATAATATGTTTTTATTAATTAATAATTATTTATACGAATCGTATGTATTGAATGATATTAATAATGATAATAATTTTTCTTTACCTAATAATTCGATTTATTTAAAATTTTATTACGCGAAGATCCCTCATTTACCCTTTTTTTAAAATTAACCCTCCCTCCCACCCCCTTCTTATCCCCTCAATTGTTTATTTAAATAATCGCCTAGTGACGTCACGTATAAACAAATATACTCGAATGACACAGACAGAGAGAGAAAGAGAGAGAGAGAGAGAAAGAAAGGGGAAGTGAAACTACCAAGATTATTTTTATCAATAAATTTTATAATAATAATAATAATAATAGTACATATAATAGTAGTAATAGTAGTACAATATATATATACATACATACATAAATATATATATATATTTATTTATTAATAATATCTATGTATATATATATATATATATTTTTTTTTTCGGAAAAAAAGATTGTCCAACATTCGCAAAAATTGTCTTCCATTATTAATTTACTTATATATATATATTTAATATTAATTATAATTAATAATAATAATAATAATAATAATAATATTTAAAAAAAAAACAATTTTAATAATATTAATAACAATTTCTTATTTATTTATTTTTATTTGTTTAAATGAATACACGCGTACACACGTTCGCGTTCACGTGGTCATTCGTATTCATATACAAATATTAATATATTTATTATTATTATTATTACTATACATTAATAAAGAATGAATGAACTAATGAATGATAAGAAAAAGGGAGGGGGAAGGGGAAGAAAAGGGAGGAGGAATAAAAAGTCAAGGGAACATTTTAATTTTTTGTAGTGCGAAGAAAATATATATAATAATAATAATATATATATATAGCAAAGAGACGCGTAATAATTTATTTACTATGTAGGGTAGGGTAGGACTTTTTATTATCATAAAATATACTACACCCTGATCGATAATCACAAGAAAAAAAAAAAAAAATTTTTTTTCACTTATTAATCATCATCACCATCATCATCATCATCATCATCATTATTATTATTATTATCATTGTTGTTTTTACATAATACAACTGATATGTATGAAATAGAAATGATGTATTGATAAAATGAATATTGTCGATTGATAAGATGGAAAAATTTTTCAATACCGACGCTTAAGATATGTTTTTTTTCCTCTTTTATTATTATTACTATTATTATTATTATTACTATTATTACTATTATTATCGTTTGTATAAACTTTGACCTTTATAATAATAATAATATTAAAAAAAAAAAAATTGTAAAATAATTATTAGATGATGAAAATTTTTTTTTTTTAATCAAATCAGATCATTATTTCCATAACGAAAAAAACTAACTTAATTTATTAATAATAATAATAATTAATCATAATAATAATAAATAATAATAATAATAATAATAGTAATAATAGAGATAATGATAATAATTGATAATTTTTATTATTTGTTGAATTTTTTTTTCCATTCCCACCGTTAAAAAAAAAAAAAAAAACGCGTGGGAATATTTATCATCATCATCACCACCACCATCATTATCATCATCATCATCATCATCATCATTATTATTATTATTATTAAATTAAAAAATAAATAAATAAATAAATACTGATATCGTTGTCGATTTTTTTTTGTTTTTTTTTTGCACCCCGAATAAATTAACATAATAAGCTCATTTATTTATATTCGTTTGTATGCGTCGTTACGAAACATTCAGAAATCTATTGATGATAATAATAATAATAATTATTATTAATATTAAAAAAAAACGACAGGTAACAGTAACAATAATAATAATAATAATAATTTTTTAATTCTGAAAAAAAACCCAGAAAAAACGATTTTTTTGTTAAAAATTATTTTTACCATTATTATTATTATTACTACAACTACTACTATTATTATTACTATTACCACTACTAATACTATTAATATTATTATTAATAATAAATACTTATTATTTATTAATGCTAAAACAAAAAAAAAAGAAAAAAAAATAGAAAATTAATATAATAATAATAATAATAATAATAATAATAAAATGAGAAAAGAAAAAAATTCAAAAATAAAATGATAATAAGAATAATATTATTATTATTATTACATATTATCATCATTATCGTTTCAAATTGTAATATTATCAAAGGAAAAGAAAAAAAAACGTATTTATATATGTATGTATGTAAATATATAATTATAAAATATAATAATAATAATAATAATAATTAAGTAAGTAAGTACCTTCAACTAGTCTGTAATTGTCTGTATTTGCGCTTGTGTATGTAAATTCAAAAGAAAAAA